GCGTTTAAGTGTATATTAAAGGCTCACTAGTACTGTGATCGGTATTGTTGGATTTGTTCTTTAGATCGGGATCACTACTAGGTGTCGCTCAGATCGTATTCAATCATAGGCTGTTTCATCTCCAACAAAAATCGACGAGATAGTACTGATGCTATACTATAGCTATCGTTTTTTAAGCATATCAATTCCCTAATCCTTAAGGTAAGATAAACTGCTACAGGATTGCTGGTCGAAATCACCGTCCCACCAGAGGGCTCTTCAATCGCTAAAATACTCGTAGGCGAAATGTCAGATCTGCATCGAAGACCTCTTAGCTAACTTAACTCACCTCAGACGTCACTTCACGTTGGTGCAGGTACGCCGGAATTATTTCCAATCATTCCAGCTGGGCCCTTCGTAAGTAGCGCGACTAGCGATGCGAGATAAAGCAGCACAGATAAACGTCGTGGTGACATTCGAGCATAGTTAGTCGTTTATGTGAACCGATGGGAAACATAAACGCCTCGTAGAACTAACATGTACACGTGTGTGTCTCCAGACAAGAATTTATACTTAATAGAGCAGTACGCATACTATTGAAGAAAATTATTTAATAGATGAACGAAGACACTACCTAATGATGTTACCGAACGCTGGAATAGCTCGTTTTTACAGGTAATATTAAGAAAAAAATCGGAACGAAGGCAGAAGCTCAGTTATTGCGCGATTAGTTCCTAAATCAAAAGTCTCTATCAGATCTGAGGAACAAACCATTCTGTCGTATGTTGATAAGACTAAAAAAATTGCTACATTGTGTTTGAGCAGGCCGGGAATTGTGTACGGGATTCTGCTTAGCGCAGCGTTGAAGTTCATTTATCCATTTTAGCAACTTCAGCTTTCTGACGACATCGAACTATCGCCTGAAACCTTTAATTTAGCAGCTGCTACATAAAGAAGAACTCTTTAATAGTAAAAGATAGAAGCGGTTTTCTAACTACTTGAGGGAGACCAACCAGCTTGCCGGTTGTAGAAGACTCGAAATCATCTTAGGTGAGTTATGGCTGATGTTCTTCTATGTTAGCTCTGCCAGAGGTGACCGTTTTTTTTAAAGTTTCGTTCTCTAACGCAGCTTAAGCCTCCGATACGAACAGTGACAAAAATACCAACCAGATATTCATAGCCAAAAACTGATCAATGACACGTTCTGTTATGACGCATACGAAACGAGGTAGCTCGTCTGCGTCTCGTTTGGTTCGCCTCTATTTTAGCATCGGCTCGATTTATATATATCCAAAATTAGCATGGACTTGAATCTATATACAGGTCGAATTTGTTCGTGAACCCCAGGTTTTCGCACGTTTGTTTGTTTGTTTGTTTATGTCCCTAAATGTGTGTTTTTTTGTGAATTTGCTTAAAAATTCTCTTCGATGTTAAGAAACGACTGTAATTTGATTTTTTATTCATATAGATTCATTAAATATAGCTACCTGAAGAGTGATTCAACTAAGTATAAGGTCCATTTAAGCAGCTCCAAAGTCCCTGTCAATTATCAGCTGTCATCCTTAACGCAGCTCGATAGAAAATATGAGACTGTTGATTGTAAATAACTTAATATAATTTTATTTAAATATTTACGAGAGTTCATCTTTATATTCTTCCTAGTCATTTACTCATTCATTCACGCATTTCGATTATTCATCATCATCATCATCATCATCGTCGTCGTCCTTTTATTCTCGCGTCCATTATTCCTATTACTATTACCACCATTAATATTGTTTTCGTGAGTGTTTCTCTTTTTTATTTGTCCCGCTGTTTTTTCGATGTCACACGCACTCGACTTTGTCATGCGCACTTCACTCTTCATTTTTTCGAAGTACGCCAACATCCGCTCTGTTTTATTGGGACCCTCTGTCTTCCACGCGCAATTTTGCCGTAAAACTCGAGTCCGCAAACGTCCCTCTCCCTTTCTCTATCTCTCCCCGTCTTTCGTTGAATTTTTATAATGTTTCTTTTACGTAGTTGTTTTTATCTGCAGTGTCGGACTAGCATATAGGTCATCTTTGTTTATTATTTCTACAAGACGCCCAACGTTTCGATAACCCCCACAGGTCAACCCACTCTCCTTTTTCATCGAACTCGTTCTCGCTCTATTGCGTTTTCTTTTCTAAACCCAGAACCGAGTGTGTTCGCATCAGGCGTAGCAGACATTCCGAGTGGTAAATTGGCATAATTATCCCCTTGAGACTTTGTGAGATTGGCGGATCCTGGAGCTACCCCATCGGCGAAACTTCGATTCGCGCGGTCAAGTGTACTAGATCTTAAAGCTGTGACATATACTAGGCCCAGTTAATAAATCATATTTGAGTATGGCCTATCAAAATTTTTATCTAAATTTGCATTTAAGTCATGTTGCTGTAAGACCTTCAAACCTATCTATCTAGTGTGACATAAGAAATATGACCAAAACAGACTCGGCATCCGGAATCCGCCATAACGACATGTTCCCACCCGGTCTTCTGCTTGCAAAGGGTCTCAGTCTTCAATCCTTATGTTCTGTCCGTAACTACCAGCCTGCGCTGCAAGATTACTAGCTGTGTCTTGTTATGGTGGCGGTCCGTTCTTTCTGCCATCGTCGTCGAACCTTGGCCTCATTAACTTAACAGCCAATAAAGTAAATTTTGATAGTGTCACATTGAGTACATTTGGTCGGGATCGATAATAGTGTCACATCATTCCATAACGTGTTGTTGTGATCACATTTGATGCCTTGAGGGCCTTAACTTTTCCCTAGGAACGACGAATAGGTTATTTATCTAGTTTACACGTTATTTGACATCATATCATTATTATTACTCGCCCGCGTTGTTATTGTTTACAATACACAACTTTACTATCGTCAAGGTCATTCTTTTTTGTTTTCTGTCTCTCTGCTGTCATCAGAGATCCGTGAAGCTTTCATGTGCCAGCTCTGCACAAAGCGAGCCATATATTTACATAGATGTATACTGAGATACAGACTGAGTTGGCTGTATGGCGCAGCGACGCACCTGCCCGGATCAGTATAGGATCAAGCACTCCCGGATCATCACTGAGTCATTCTGAGTTTCGACTCGTGTTCCAAATTAAAGTTCGAAGATGTTGGGAGATTTGAGAGGCGCGCTGGGGCCGTCCCTTAACCCAAGAATCGGTCGAACACTTCACACAGAGCTATACTATTATTAACCCATTCTATTTTTACAGGTGGAGCATGTCGAGATGTACAGGTCGGGACGCTACGGCTAACCTGCACACTAATCTTATAATGCGTCTGGTAAAATTTCGCTAACATTTAGAGGGTTGCCATTATCCCGTGCCTGTTTACTGTACCTTTCCATTCCTCTCTCCGAAACACTAGGACTATGCCGACCTTCATCTATATGGTGTGTCTGTGTGTATATATATATATTCTATATAAATATATAGGTGACGTCGTCCATTCAATATCCCACGAATGCGGATGGCATTTTTGTACAGTTGATGACTATAATCGTAATCATAGAGATTTACTAATAATGTGTTGCTATATTCAAAATGTTAGTTTTAGTGCCGATGCTTGTTGACATTGCTGTTTTTAATGCCTTTGGCATCACTTTTGTTCCTATATAGGGTATGATTTTTCATCCTGATACACGTACTATGTCATTTAAATGTTTTTGCTAATTGACGCTTAATGGCTGCTTAGAGAAGAATCTGGAAATAGAATTGTATTGACGCCTTTGTCTGCCGATACTGGCGGTCGAGGGAACGTTTCGCGGAGAAACAATCGTACCGATACAAATCCCGTAAGTTTCCCCCGACCTCCTGGCAAGACAAAAGCTCTCGTGCTATTTATATCTACTCTAATTAGAGTAATTCCTGGCAATGTAATTATTCCTCCTCCTCCTCCTCCTCCTCCTCCTCCTCCTCCTGCTTTTTCCTGTCGTTGAAATCTCATCTACAAACATTTTGTTACGTTTTTCATAAATCTTTCATAGCTAAGCCATATATTTGCGTTTGTCCAAGTGAGTTGGCGTCCATTTGTGGGAGAATAATAATGCCATCGGGAGAATGAGGTTCGATTTGTGTTTTTTGATACATGAGTTCATGCTGCGAAGTTTCCGCAAGTATTCGTTTGTGGGTACATGTTTTCGTGTACACTTGTAGATATAGCTACTGTTTCGTACGATTTCCCTGCTACGCTATAGTAATTATAGTGGTAGCCTGAAAATAATGTAGACTACTGCTGTGATCATCATTAATATAGATATAGAAAATTGAAACAAACCTAAGAACCGGGGAGGGTAATGCTCGTATACAAGCGGGTTAGTACTTGCCAGCCACTTGACGCTTAGCTTGGAACTAGTTACAGTCTTTTTATCCACTCCTCTTCGTTACCAATGCGCCTGGTGTGTATATATATATATATATATATATATAGATCAGCATATTATGTATAATTATTCAGTAATATTTAAATAATATTGTTATTATTATATAATCATTGTCATTATTATTGTATATATTGTTATTAGTATTTCTCTCCAGTTATGTATTTGCTTTATTTTTCCGTTCCCCTTGCGCTCATTCTTCTTCTTGCATTCATATAAAATATTATAATTACACTATGCTGATACTATCATCGTCATAAATTATAATTAGTATAATCAATTTTTATATTCTCTCTCTTTGCTCGTGATTCTTTCGGTGTCGGTACAGCATCTGATGTGTGTACATTTGACTTAAAATAAAAGACGCGGAGGAATAAATACAAATTATATAATTGTTACTTTCATACACATCCGACTAATTAGAAATTGATAATTATACTATATTTTATTATTAATATTACCACAATGAGAGTAATAATCGTGCTCTAATTCTAAAAAATCGTGGACTCTTTTTTAATTTTCCTCGCCTACCGCTTGCAATAATTGTTATTTCCACCTTTCGTTTTTTATAAATATATATATATATATATATATATATATGTATATGTATTATTCATATTGGCTAGCCGATAAAAATTAAAAACTAGCATATAATAATAACTAGTATGGTGAGAATGTAAGATGATGCACTAAAAATTAAGTTGCAACACATGAATCACATGGAGGGACCCGCCGAACGGAAAGATAGGTTCCATAGGAGGTCGGGTACCGCTGAAAGCGCGCACCTAAAAGCGAGTTATTGGAAGATACCGAGATTTTATCTGTACAACTATGAAAAAATTGCTAAAAAAAGCTTTGCTTAGAGACTCATTCAAATAGAGACAACCCGCGAAATCTCCAAGGGTGTCGCTATAGCGACGACAGTACTTAGGATTCGATCAGTGGTCGTAGCCATCGGTGTGTCGATTGGATGCCACGGCAGAAGCCAGACGAGAATCGGGCAGAAAATGCGTTGTATTTCTTCTTTTGTTTACTATAAACGAATCACGTGTTGATTTTCTCGTCTGAGATGACTTGACTTCTCTCTTACATATTCTATACGAGTACACAAACAACCGTTGCGGAAAGCTAAGGCTGTTAACAGTTGCCAAAAAAGCTAATGAAAAACAAGCGTCAAAAAGATACAGGCTGCTACAATAGCAGACAATAATACACAAGAGCAACAAATTATAATGTACAGCCGCAGAACGGCATCTCAGCCACGACGGCGTAAGCGTTCCCACGTACGTGGTAAGGAGACAAATGTGTGTACGAATGCACAAGAAATAGCCCCGCAGGGAAAAATGTACCAAGGAAAAAATTATGCTATATAGGTGAGGTCAGATTTTCTGGCTGAAACTCCATCATTGTTCTGTATAACAAAAAAAAGGACAAATTTAGCGGTCATCAAAGGGCTCCGAGCCTGGCGGATAAGAAGGGAAAGAGTGGGTAAATTGGCGTCCATGCTGTCCGCTTCGCTTATATGTTAAACAGCAATTTCCTGAATGATGGCCACCCACACATTCCAGTGAGACCCAATTATGTCCACACAATGAATTTATTTGTTCTACAACTTCGTTGCTGGATTTTGTCGTATCGCTCAGTCCCTGCGGCCAGCCCATCCAATCAGGGTTCGGGCGTATTCGGGCCATCGAACTAGCCAGAAGCTGCTGCCCAAACACCTTAATAAAGCCAAACCAGGGCAGGCTCGCTTCTATGTGTGTGACGATCGTTGATTTCCTTCACTTAGTTAATAATAATAGTACGGCCGTCTACATTTTTGGGTGGAGGCCGTTCCATACCCAAGGCGTTAGGGGTCACGGAGACCAGGCAGAGTTTCGGGCGTGTAAGTCAGTCTAGGTAGGACTTACCTAGGGAAATCCTGAACCAAGTGACCTCCATAGAAATAATGCAGCGGGTGTGTTGTGTGTGCACCAATTTTTCTTGTCCTCCTTTTTGTGAGAGCTTGTATATTCCATTTATTTGTCCTATAATTCATAAACATATCTACATATGACGAAGTGGATGCGTAGGTGTCTCTATATACTTTATATAAATGTTGTCCTGGTCGTACAGGTATACATGGGAGATCTTGCGACTACTGTATGGTGCCAAGCAAAAGGCTAACTAGGTAATTTTTTTGTCTCTGGGGTTGTCCTGATCGCATCTGTCTCTTGTCGCACATCTGTCTGTCACACACGTCTTTGGTGGTCTTCCCTCGAACCCGATGCATGCGTTTACGCTGTTTGGCCAGCAGTCCAGACGTAAACAGAATGTTAACTGCGATCTTGGTAGAGAACATAGCTTTTCAGGGCGGCGGGCAGATTAAGTTCAGATGCCCTATTCAATCGATGCTTGCCCAACTGTTGCCGAATCACTCGCCGGCAGATGTCCTTCAACGGAAGAGGTTCGGCTGAAAAACAATTTACACGACATTAAGAGAAGTGGTACGCAGAAAGTTGGGCTGGGGTTGGCAGTTAATGTATTGCTAACTACTCTTCTGCATAATTATATTGAAACTAATGTACAATGTTGTTTAAAACTCCAGGTGAAAACTTGCGAAAGTGTTAAAAAAAAAAAAACCATAGAACGTCCGTACTCTGCTAAAGGTTACAGTTTATTAAGTAACCTGTCAAAAATTATTTAGGGAGAAATTCGGCCAAATTTCGGCTTAGAATATAGATTCACTCACTCAGTCGGTTGATTAAGGACAAATAATTTCCATCTTTCAGGTTAAGCTTTTTAGCTGTAAAGTGAGATTGCTTTGAAATATGCTATCGTGGCCGGATCCTAGGACCGCCTACATAAAGCTAAAACTTCGCTTGTTTATTATTATGAAGTACAAATAAATCAAGATTATAAATAACGTAGCGTTTTTCAAAAACGAATTATCCTCATGAAAATTGAAAGGTGGTCGTCTCTTCAGTTAGCTTCTCCCGGTACATCAAACTCAAACGAGAATAGCAACAGCTAACCATAATAGAAAGTGACGAAGAAAGATTGTACATGCTTCTAAAGACCTTGGGTATTTTCGACAGATAAAGACGTTCTTAGCGGAGATTTGTTGTTGACTTGCTCGGTCAAACGACTGCGGTAGTCGAGAACGGGGCCCCCTTAAGCTACTCAAGCAATCCTTTACGTTTGTATTAGAATCGGCATGTACAGCAACATCGAAACGTGCTGAACCACATGGTCCCTAAGCTTGAACTCTGTTTTGCGGGTTAGATTGCGAAACGAGGCCCGGAAACAGCCCACATCTCTGGAAATATGTATTACTCCTATTTTGTCTTTGTTAAACGGTCGTTATTTCAAGCGCTTCTTGTGACATCAACAACGAGCCCACATAATAATAGAATGCTTGTGCAAAAGGATAGCGATGCAGCGCCAGCTCTAGTAGTGCTTCTGGTCATCAGGGATTATTTTAAAGCGTTGATCTTAAGGTGTTTCAAAGTTAATAAATCAAGACTAATTTATTACTAACTTAACTGACAAAAATTAGATGGGCGTTCAACGAAAGTAAGGCTTTCCTTTACATTTCCTTAATCGAAACGGCATCTTTGGTATCAACATACAATTGACCGAAGTTCATGAAGACCTGTAAAAAATCATTCTTCGCAAATTTCCGCTTCTGGCGGTAAGCGAAATACCACGGTCGATTTATACACATTGGAAAAATGCTTGTTCTCGTTTAAGCTTTGTCCTCAGATTTCGAAGCACCCTGTAAATATATGGACGACCAGAACATTTTAAACAATAACAACACAAGCAATTTTAATTTCCAGTTATGAGCTAGCTTAAGTATACCTATAATTACATAATGGACTTACGGCGTTATTCAACTATGTACTTACGATCAAGTCCGCCGATGTACTTAATCGTGATTTCGCAGTGACCCCACACCGCGCTCACAATAGGATACAATTTTTTGCCTTTTAGTCCTCGGAAAGCTACTCCAAGGTATTGTCCATTGACAACAAAACCCAGCGTCCCCTCGTCCATGTCAAGGACAACTTGGAACACGTCCGGTACAGGAAACACTTCGTCGGATGAGCCCTGGGCCAGAACTGGGTATGTCGCTGGCAAGTTGTTCTTCACATCATGGTAAAGTCGATTTCGTCCAAGATCCCAGCCCCATGATTCTCCGTTACTGCCAACAAGACTTTGATACCCCACTGAATGCAAAGGAGCATCTCTTGTAGCCACACCAACTACGGCATGCGTGCCCCGTTGCCGAGTTGACCATTTTAGTTCCCACATATGCATCCCTCGAGTGTAACCCACCCGCCCGCGGATGCAGTCCGTGCTCTGGGCCACGGGATGCCTGCAATTGGTATCGAACAGTGCCAATAACACGGGGAAAGAAACTGTGTTTAGAACTGCAATTTGTTAACTAGTGTTTGGCAAGGGCTATCGGAATATAGTCGTACCTAATACAAGGCATGGGCTCAACAGCCTTAATGGGACACATGTATAAAAGGCACTTCACACAAACTAGACCATCTGAATTCTTTTGCTTTAATATGTTATATGCGATAATTTTAGACGATTTTTTTTATTGCCTTCATGATTATAGACCGAGCCAATACATGGCTCAGTTTATAATGAACGAATAACCAAATGATCATACTGCTAGAATATTTAGATTGTCGTGTACTAAAAGATAGCACGTTTATCAACCTGTGAAACGTCAGTCTGTCATCTTCCTTGACAAATATATTAAGCGATCGATCGTCAGGGTTCCAACTGTGACGTAACTGTGTTTCGAGTGAGGCAGCTGGCGTATCAAGAAGCATGCCTAACCGCGCTGGTCGCTGAAGATCTCTACAATTCTGTTGATCCCGTGTGACGACGGCCCTGCAAGTTGACAGAAACAGTAAAATCATACGTCTGAATTTGGCTAATTATCTCACGTACAACAAAAGAACCAGTCCGCAGCAACCGTTTCTTCATTTACTGTCGTGACGTTAGTTAGCCGTAAATTTATATGCACGTAAGAGATGCTCAGCTCTCTAACTCAGCTGGAAAAATTTTGCTTGGATCTAAATCTAGTTAGGGAATTGCATCGTGAATTCTAGCGACTCCTTTGCATTTTCCATATACAGTTTTATATCTTCATATGCAACAATAATATATATGGCTGGTTAATCGTTGTATATTGATTAGTGGAACTTCGATGCGTGCAGTCCACAACTGTGATATAGTTGTTGTGTACACCATAAAACCACCGGATAAAATCATTATTAGAGTTGATATCTACCGTGTACTGCTTTTCTTGACCTGTCTTTGGGACAAGATTCAAATAGCCCGCCAGCTAATGATACCTTCAGAAGACACATTTATATGCCGTCTGGCCTGGCTTTCTCCAGCGTGAGTATCTCCTCATTATTGTGCCTGTATACTTCTTGCTTTCTTATTCATACTTATGTCTATCATTGGCTACAACAGCTAATGCACACTACAGTAATTGTCATCACCGTGGTCGTGTCGTACCTCTGATTGCCATTGCTATCTTCTCCAACGGACACCACTTTAAGCCCAGTGCTGACGCGCTGGCCCATGGCGAGGCCCTGTAAAGCCAGCTGGTTTAGCGGTGAGTCAGTCGCAACAAGGGGAAGCTCAGCCGAAACTGGCGGGGCGCCCAGCCCGAGCAGTGGCGTTAGATTTGACACGGCAGATACCGACAGCTGACTTACGCGGCCCACGAGTCCGGCTCCGGGCTCGGCGACAACGCCCGCTGGGTGTTGCTGCTGTTGCTGCTGTTGTTGTTGTTGCTGCTGTTGTTGTTGTTGTTGTTGTTGTTGTTGTTGGTTGAGTTGGGCAAGCGCGATCTGTCCGGCCTGTTGTTGCGTTGCTATTGGATTGGGGTTCGCGCCACCGCCACCGCTACTGCCCTTATTTGGCCGGGACGACGCCCGATTTCCAGCCGGACTCCGATGATAGACGAAATAGCGAGCGCGACCGTGGCCTTTGCTTGGCTTGATGGCGCCTTTGTGCGTTCCGTGCTGTTGCTGGTTCGGATGGTGTTGTTGTAGCTGCGGATGCTGTGGGGTTCTCTGACCGCCACGTGAACTGCTGCCTCCAAGACTGGAATGCTGTGCGTTGGCAACTGTCGCCGCAGCCGCTGCTGCGGCCTGCTTCACGAAAATCTTGTGGTCCTTTAGCACGTATCGGAATGCAGCTGTCCCGTGGTAGATCGGCCCGCCAACACTTTGGATAGTGATGCTGGGAGCTTCACACCTAAACCATAGAAATCGTAAAATAAAAATGGCTTAGTAATATTGAGCTGAAGAATTACACTAACACGAGATGGAATAAATAGTATCAGTATCTTAACGTTTAGCACCAGGTCGGTGTTCTAGTTCGTCTAGCAATGAGTACATGCATACATTTTTTCGTTGTCAGCGTCCACAGGAAACAAGATCCTTTTATTTTAACTTAGCCATAGTTTATTTCGAACGTTTCCGCGGTGCATATGGTAGCTATACGCATGATCAATTACATACATGCTTCGAGCTAGCCTGAAATGCACGCAGCTTAATTACTTGCTTAGTGTGTATGTGTCGTCTCGATTCGCCCTTTTATTAGATTTTTTTTTATTTATTAGATTACTACTCATTGTTCGCTTGTTTTATGAGCAACGTGCACACATTGAAATTTGTAAACAAAAAATGTAGCGTTAACATTTACATTGTGCACTCACTATCACATAACGTGTATATATACAGTGGCATAAATACACAATCATTGTGCGGCAGGCGTTCCTTCATTATATAATGACAGTAGCTTCATCGGTAACGTTTGCTGGACTCTATCTATTTTATATGCACATATATATATATGTATATAGCAGCGTTCCTGTATGTGGCTGCTCGTGCCGGTCACCAGGTGTGTTTACTGGTAGCGACCCTCGGCAAGAGCATAACCGTGTAAAGTACAGCACATGCGCTTTCTCGCTTTTCTATATATATATATCTTCGCTTCTTGCATTCGATAGACCCAACTGGCTGAAATTACTGCACTGCCCATGCCGTTCCGAGTGTTTTGGCGGCTGCCACATAGAACGCTCGTTCATAGAAACACAGCGGGCTGAAGCAACGAGAAGTCGTGTCGAGCGAACTAGGCAGTAGCCGACGCCGGAGCTCAAGTGAGCCAGCGGCAGGCATAGCAAATATACAGGGGTTTCCATCAATGAACGACTGGATACCTCCATTCCGTAACAGCGCTGGTATTTAGTAGCGAGCTCGCTGCTTGCTATGGCTCCAGTCTATTTGGCCGTTTCGGCCGGCTCTAGTCCCAGCAGATGGTCAGGGTCGTCGGCATTTGGGCCTCCATTTCGCCCGCTCTCTCCCGCTTATCTTCCGTTCTTATCCCTAGAATGACTAACCCCAAAGGACTCCGAAGCTTCGGAGCAAGCCGGTAAAGCAATTGCGTTCAGCACTGGTCGCGCTAGCACTTTTTCCTGTCTCTTTTCATAGTGAAGCTCTATTAATACTAGTTGTAGTACTGGTAATACAATGTTATGGCCGGCAGTAGAAGGTACAATGTTGTCTGCAGAATACCATAGAGTATTACTGAGCCGCTGTCGGCACTGGCTGAACTGTCTGGATGTGTGTGTGTGTGTGTGTGTGTGTGTGTGTAAATGTGCGTTTGTGTGTCTTTCGGCCAGGCCATAACGCTTCGCTGGCGGATGCTCGTGTCTGTTCACCCACTAGCTCAGCACAGACTTTCTTGGGTGTTAGTCGATGGCTAGCCTTTGCTGGCTTGATGTGTCTATATAGAAAACAATGGACGGCAATCGAAAAGCTTTGCCAATGCAATCATAGGCTATAGCGATATACAGCTGCGTGTGACGTTACGATGACAAAAAGCTCTGGAGACACAATCTACTTTACCATCGACGACACTACTCTAACGATAGATGCACAAAGGTGATGTTACTGCTGCAGAACATTATTGCCACGCACTCCATTCACATACGATTCGACGACCCGTTACGGACATGAAGAAGCCAGGCTCACTGTGGTAGCAGCATCAGCAGCGGGAGCACGACTCGTTGCTTCAAACTTTCGCATATCGGACATCCGACTCAGCGGGTTTCAGAGCGTACCCGTCGTTGCCGCCGCCGGCACAGCGAGCTCGAGCTCGTACTCGCTTTCGTACCGCAGCTGAGGCCGTCCTCAGCGTTAGCTAAGATAGCTAGATGGGGTAGTTGGGTCTGGAGAGGAAAGTTGGATGGGAGGCTTATGCATCAGCAAAGCAACGCAACGCCTATTGCAGCGAGTGCGACAAGAAATAACCGGGAACAGCTTGGTCGCTGTTAGCACGATTTGAAGCTGTCGGATTGGCTCAATGGTTGAGACACGTACGATTTCTGGATTCGGACTTGTACAGCCTGTGGATGGCATGACTGGCACTGCACATCCTAAATCTAGCTATTCTAGGCCACGGGTGTCGCCCGCAGCAAAAAGGAACAGAGCAACTTCAAGTAAAAGAAGGAGAGATAAACACAGCTTTCTCGCGGCCAACTTCGCAACCTCTGTTCATTTTTACGCTACGCTAACCTGGGTCAGCTTTGCTTAGTTCATCCTAGTCATCCTAGATTCGTACTAGCCAAATAAGATCATCGTTTTCGTGGGATACGTCGCCAGTGACAAAGCCAGAGCAGGCTACAAACACTGTTCGGTCGTGTTTCGCGCCTGGCTTTCTACTCGTTTAAGCAACGATGAAGCGACATGCCCTATTTGTATGCTGGTCGCTCGCGATTCTCGATATAAAAACGGCACCGCTCGCAAAAGCGCCTGCGACTTGTGGATCAGGCGCAGCATTACCAGCTCAAGGGTAGTGGCCACACGACCTGCGACAGGGAAATTGTGGACTTCAGGGGACTCCTCTGCATCCTACAAGCTGACTCCCTGCACCATTGCGATTTTTTTACTTAGGTGTCGCAGCAGTATTAGCACCCGAAGGAAAGCTAGGAACGCTTAAGCAGATGCGTTGGGATGATTGTCGGTAGAGTGGACAACAGCCAGGATACGACATACGCGAGTCGGCAGAACGGAGGGTCTGAGGGCCTGGGCCGACGCGACCAGGGGGATCTGCAGTCAGCAACGGCAGCAGCCCACAATTGCCCGTTAGCCGAAGGGACGAACAACGGGATATGCAATTCACAACCTCTACATGTCTGGCAACGACTAGTCCACAGGCAGCTAAAGCAGCAGGAACAGAAAATACTAGTACGAACAAAAGTAGCAAGTAGCAGGAATACCAGCCGTGTTTGCTCTGTATCACTCAGCTGGCCTACTCTATCGAGGTATACGCATCCAACTGCCAGAACTGCTGCTTCTGCATCGGTAAGGCACGCCGATAAGGGCCATAAGGGCATGCTGATGCTGCAGCGCCGGCCGACCAGCAGGTCGGAACAGGCTCCGGAGGGTCTACTGCAGATAACCGAGGCAGTATAACAACTTTTATTTTTCAGCTATCCTTCTACCTAACAACAATGAAAGACAACAGCCCTCATGGCGCATACGGGTATGATCACTAACACGTATCAACGGCAGGACAAGTCGACGGGGACGTGGGGGTGCATGAGTTGGATCTTAACGGCGGCCTTACTACATGCAGACTTCATTATGACAAAGACCGAACACGTAAACTTACATGTGCACCTAGTTGTTCTCATAACGCGACAATGTGCACTAGCTCTCGCGCAACGTTAAAGGCGTCGCGTCAGTTTGGCTAGTTTCGTTAGCTTCGTAGCTCTGAATGAAGCTCCTTCAGGCAGGATTGCGGATCGATGGACTTAGCTATTGCTGTTTGAAGTGTTATGAACATATTGTTTTCTGGGCGACGCTGACGAACAACGGGAGAGCCGGACAACAAAAGACTTGCGGCGTAAGAGGAACACGAGTTGGTGTTCCTCAAGTGCAAGCATGGAATGACATTCTATTAAACCTATGTTATAATCTGTAAAGAATTAATCATTTGCAACTTGTTCACGGACGCGCCTATTTGGCAATGCCTCAAATCGCTCCGCTTTGCCGTCGTCGCAAAGCTCTATATCGGACCGTTCACTTTCTTACGCGGTGATATGACAGTAACACAACTGATAATATGAAAATATTTAGAAGCTATTGTTTTCAGTGAACGTTTATTATGAACACTTTGCTGAGATCGTCATCGCATTTATAATCAAGTGGTCAAGAAAAAGACACGTCATGCAGCCACACTTCACGCATGAAGTTCCGTGCTATTATCTACAAGTGCCAACCAATAACGCCTGTCGGCCCATGGCGTGCTCGGCTTTTAATGAACATTGTGAAATCCCTATGAACTCCACTCGTTGATCGGGTTTTTTTCTATAGTACAAATACGTATCGTATCCAGATGAACGACCGCCTTTCTTTGTCCGAGCGTTCTGCTACCACTGGCACGTCAACCTGCATCTATAAAGCTTACATGCACAATGCCTGCTATATGCGACTGCTGTGCAAATGTATGCGATTAGGCAACTGCTGACGGTAACAGCACGATGAGGAAGGCTTGCTTTCGTTTTTCCTCTGCCTCGTGGGAGTGCTCCACATTACTCGTGGTAACTATCCGATCCATGTCATCCTCACAGAATCATTCTGCCTGTTTACGTCTGTTCGTAGAGGCAACGTTGGACCGCTGGTTGCAGCAGCTGTGACATTGCTCCCACTGATCGACGTGAAAGTCTTTCTAGTTTCGCCTGTTTGTCTGTCTATGTGCCTGCTTGGTAGCCGTTTGCGGCGCCAAGTCGCAATGCTCGGCAACAGCAGGGACAACAACAACAGGAATGCCAACAACATCATCAGCCTCCGCCGATAGTAGCTTGACGGTTTCGGCAGAGCTTGTCGGCAAACAGAACGTCAGATCCTGCTTCACTTTACAATAGCACATCACAGCATCGTCCACTATTGAGAGACTATAGACTGAAAAGGGGAAGAAGGCCTGACCAACTTGCGACTGTCGGCCACCGTCGACCCACGATCGACCCACAACCAACCCACGGCCCGACTGTCGTCCGTCCATTCTATCCTTAGAGAGGGAATGCGGGAGCAGTCAGTAGTGAAGGAGCGGTGAGTATGGAGTATTCAGGCGCTACCTTTCATGGATGGGCCCCTGAGAAGAACTCCCTGTTTCTTTGCTAGGGTGCCAGTCCCCCGTTCCTGTCCCTGACACTGTGCTTAGCTTCTCCCAACCGCTGCTATCCCCGA